AAGCTACTGGCAACAAAACATTCATTCATGTTATATACTCTGGTTAGCTTTAGCTAGTCCAGCCTAAAAAAGTAAAAAGAAAGCTAGTCCAGCCCAGGCCAAAACACATCATGCCGCACTCTTCTTTTGCTATACGTACTCCTACTATTTTTTAGTTAAATTTGGAGGTAGATGCATCAGCATGACTGGGCAGCAGAGAGTGTGAGCCTTCTAACAATCATTACGCAATCATTGTGGTCATCAAAGAAGCCATCATATCATACTAAAGTCCTTGTTTACCGGAAAGTAACTATATAAATTTATTTTCTTAAACTTTAGGGACCACACTGTGAAGTGTGCATATTCTAGTTTTTTGGAAGATCATGAAAGACGTGACAAAAGGTTTCGGCGGCTACAGGTCAACTCGAGTATACTACACCGTCCTTGCCACGGTCCATCTCCATCTCCTGTAGTAGAGTTGTAGAAGTAGCAGTAGCTTTGGTGTACCGTACTGCTCCTACCTAAGAGTTGCGTTAGGCCTCGTTCGGCTCGTTGAAACTTGGCTGAAACTGACTTAAAAAATATTGTTCTGGCTGAATTGTTGTGAGAGAAAAATACTGTTCCGGCTAAAAAAAGAAGCCGAACAAGTCGGTTTTAAGATAAGCCGAACAGGGCCAATCACTTTGTGTACTCCGTACACATCCATCCAAATCACCAACTCTGGTGGTGTAGTATATACATGATACTACTACCTGTCCATGTATAATCCCATCGTATTTGACTACCGGTTTTGTCTAGAAATGGAGCGTAGGAATCTCAGCTCAAATTAAATGTCACGTACAAAGTAGACGTACTCCATTGACGGGTAGTATTCTATGGGTCGGCTGGTTTAGCGTGAGCTGTGGAAAAACTTAAATAAGTTTTGAGCTGTGTGAAAAAGTTGGTGTGACTTGTATACTGTGAAAAAGTTATAAGCCGTTGGATTGAAACTAGCATAACTCGCTCTATCTCTATTGAAACAGTTGTAAAATGGTCCTCTATTTCGGCCCATTTTAAAAGGCAGAAAGCCAAAAGTAGGGTGTTTTCAAAATTATAGATATGAAAGTAGCTACTTCTGAAAAAAAACAGCTTCATATTATACCTGTTTGGTTGGCTTTATGTTTTTAACAATAAAACTATTTTTGAAAAGCTTAACCAAACACAACCTATTTCTACTCTCCCTTCGTTGTAAATGGCTGGAGAGGTACCTTTTATGAAATCCTGGTCAAATGTTACCGATTTTGACCTCTTTATGTATTTTAAAAAATAGTAATGCTACAGATTTTTACCTCTTATGTACAAAAATATAATAATATTAAAATGATATAGATTTTGACCTATTATGTACAAAAATATAGTATTTTAATTATAAAAGGGCTACTGATTATTACTTTGTCATGAAAACTTCATACTACTGTATTTTTACTACACCGTTCCAAATTATATAGGTCACTCTAGTTTTATGGTAAATCAAATTTATCTAATTTAATGACCAAATTTTTAGAAAAATATATTAACATCAACAAGTGCAAATAAGTGCACTATCGAAGTACATTTTATGAAAAACTAATTTGATGTAATACATATTACCGTATTTTTCTATGAACCTAGCCGAAGTTAGAGAAATTTCACCTAGGACAAAATTAAAGCGGTCTACAATTTAGAATGAAGGATGTAACAAATATATGAACAAAGTTAAAATTAAATGCTATACACATTGACTCAACTTCTATAGCAGGATTAATTATAAGAAAAATTGAGCTAAGGAGCAATTAATATTTACTACCATAAGGGTCTATTTGAATCTCATATAGCTAATAGTTAGTTGTTAGAATATGTGTAATTCTCAAAAAAAAAAATAGCTGAGATTCTCAGCTAATAAACTAGCTAATATTTTTACCTACCACCCAGCTAATAATTAGCTATTAGCTGGTTTCTCCAAGCTAACACAGCTAATAGTTACTCCTAATACAACTAGATTATCTGTAGCAATTAATTGACTACCAATTCTAATCCTTGGTTGGCAGGTATCATATCTATGGCAATTGGTGATTTTTTTCCTATTATTATCCATGGGTTTCCCTTTTTTGGCTGTGAGTTTATTATTACTTTTATTAGATGTGTGTTAGCTAGGAGAAACCAGCTAATAGGTAATTATTAGTTGAGAATCTAAACAACTAATTTTAAGCAACTAACTATTACCTGTTGGGATTCAAACGATCCCTAACACCTAGGTTATCTGTGGCAATTAATTGACTACCAATCCTATTCCTATGTAAGCAGGTAGCATATATATATCTATGGCAATCAGCGTTTTTCTTATTATTATCCATGAGTTTCCCCTTTTTTCTGGCTGTGAGTTTATTTTTTTTATTTGTCACATAGGTTTTAAGTACATGGACCCAACTGGCAAGTCAAAATGGTCCTTTTCGTTTGCTTCAATAATGGACGGTCCCCTTATGCATGTGCTTTGCAAGATAAAGACTCGTGGCCATGCATGTGGCTTCGCGCAGTGGGCCGCGTCCATCTCATCGACACCACTCTACATCCCTTGTACATGTACACATGATTGCGCCTCCTTCCTATAAACAGATTGGATTAATTTGTATTATAGGGCATTATTTTCTTGTGATTTTGATACCACAACGCTTCTGAATGGAATAACTGACGATTAGACACGATTGCTTATAAAAGGGGATGGATGGATGGATGCTAGTTCAATCTCCTTACATACATATATCTCAAAATAAAATCTTTTTGTAAACCCTACAGCGAGAAAGTGAAAAACGAATACTAATAAATGAAAAATGAAAAGGAGGGACGAAACTGTTCAGAGTTCACCTGCCTCTGCGTTTTGTTTTCTTTATTTACAGCAAAATGTTAGGCCAGGGGAAGGCGGATTTGCACTCCCCTTTCCATTTCTTTACAGCAAAACATAAATAAGAGAGGACTGTGCATGTGAAGACTGAGCAGGTGCCGGCTTCCCCACATAGCTGCAAACCTGCAAAAGTACAAAGTGCATATGAGGTTCGGGTCTGGTTCCATCGTCGTTGAAAGAACACACCTGTTGGTATTTGGTAGGCAGCTGGCGCGGTTCATATATATGCACAGGCCAAATCCAAAAAGAAAAAAGAAAAAAGAGAAAGCCTTTTTCTAGTTTAAATGAAAGGGAAAAGTACATTTTTCAACCTTCAAGTTGCATGTTAGTCCGAATTTCAACCGTGAACTATGAAATTGGGTAACGGACACCCTTAATCGTCAGAACCAAACAAATTTAGTCCTTTCAAATGTAGTTTTCTATTTTTCTAAAAATGATAAAAATATGGTTTGGTCTTTATTATGAATCCATAACTAATTTATTTAAATCAGAAAATATAAAACTAGTTCTAGTTTTCTTCTTAAAATGTTAATGTTATCTATCCGTTGATTTTCTATTTAGAATTATTTGGTTATTGTTCGTTTTAGATAAATAGTGAGCACGACTACAAGCAATAAAGTAATAGAAACAGAAATAAACCAATTCCAAATAACTATATATAAATCATAAATATGAAGATAACATTTCTAGAAAAATGATAGTAGTTTATTTATAGATGGTTTCATAGATTTATGATTTATAAGTAGAACATAATGCCCAGATGCATATATGGATCAGTTATGGCCAAGGAGCTAGTTGTTGAATTGGGCCACAGTTCAGTTATGGCCGAACAGTGTTTCCCAACCAAACTGAAATACAAGTGTACAGCTACTTCACTTTTATTTTGGTATAGGACCATGCACTGCACGCCATATATCCGACTTGGCACTAAATGATGTTGAACTCATCTCTTGTACGTTGACATTACAAATAACCACCACTGTACCTGTGATCACAACCGTGTCCACATGGAGTGCATACTCGTCAAACTGTGCCGTCTCTCTCAGCGGATTCTGCAGAGATCCAGCTACTGGACCAGTTCTGGTTCAGGGCCTTCCACACACACAGTTGGGACTTGGGAGCCTTTGCCAAGAGGTCCCACGTACTGAATGAGTGGCCCCACGGCTTCGTGCTTGGAGCCAAGACACACAAATTGGTTTTTGCCATGCTGCTAGCCGATCAGTGGGTTCTTCTACAAATAAATAAATATTTAAGGCAAACCCTTTTCCCTTTAAGTGGTGTTTGGACAATGAGAAATAGTTGGTGGGAATGGAATATTAGTTCTCTGGAAAATCTATGTTTGGATTTTTGCAAAGGGATAAGTGGAAAGTTAGGGAAGGAGAAATGCAACTCATGTCCCGCCCATTGAGGGCACACACTTGTTTATCCCCAAGCTTATATATAGGTGTATAGATAAAGGTTGAAATACATTGGTCCAGGCAGCTTATAGGAATATATATAAGATTGGGGAGCATGAATTATATATAATTTGGCTCACACAAACAAGCTTAAAATCCATAGTAGTAGGTTGGGTAGAGATGAGAAACATGAAAATTACATATTTACCCTTTAGTATGGAACTGCTGCCTCTTTATTCTAAAAAGATGTTTTGGTTATTTTAAACATTTTCCTATCTCCATCCGAGGTCAAACGAAAACAAGGTCGGGGATAAAAGCCTTATAACTCTATCTTATACTCATCCCGTTTTATCCAACAACATTTCCGTTTCCCTTTCACACCTTACATCTAGACTCTGCCTAGCATCCATTGCTACTTTGTCCAGACATTTTTTTTAATTTATTTTGTGCTCACATCTGAATTATTGAACCAAATCTTTTTCTCTTTTTTCTTCTTCCTTTGCTCTTCACCTCCTCTATGCACTTCCAGTTCCAACCCTAAACCATTATGACATTCCCTTCGGTCCACCCTCCTAGCCCACACCCGTCTCTAGTACCTTTACCTACCAGATTCGTCACCACTAGGCACTAGCAAACCCATATATCATCAATGAGCGATTGATTTATTGCCCCCGCTCCAACCCTACCTAATAAGCCATATATCTTCGATGCCCACTATCTCGCCTCCCCATCCGCCAATCCCCGCCTCCTTTGAGTACCATATCTTCACGGACTCCATAATAAGTCTGCTATCCTCCATTGAATCCCTGCCGCAAAGCAGCCCAGATCTGAACCCTAACCTCGCTAAAGCCAAATATCTCCAAAAGATGGAGAATATGGGCCCAATATCGCAGGAGATGGGGGAAAAGGCGTTGGATCCCACCGGAGATAGGGAATTACGAGTTAGAGAAGGGAGGGAAAAATTTGGGTGCCAGTTGACTTCAAAATACCAAGGTATCTTATCTCATTTCATTTCTTTATCCATAGAGGTAGTCAAATGACATGCGGAATTGTGCGGCTAGCTTGCTTTGAAATTATTCTATTCACTGTACATGTCCATTGAAAGAGTTTCTAGTGTTTTTTTGTGAACATTTTTTTCTCATAATGATTGTTGAGTTGACTTTAGTTATCCAAGTGTTCTTTTTAAAGGAACATGAAAACTGTCTATTATATTGGCCAAGAAGAAGTTAGGTTTGGATTGGGCAAATCATCTAGGTGTTTATCCTGTTTGCTTGTTGGTTTCAGTCAGGGTTTATCAACCAGCCAACAGTGTTTTTCTCTCACAACAAACCGGCATCAGCCAGGCTTATTAGTCCAGAAACCAACCAACAAACATGCTAGTTATGTATACTGATGATGCGAGTGTAGTAGTTCAAACACTTCAGAGAATTGCCAGTAGATTAGTAATGACGAATTTAGATAAAACTTTCTCTGTTTCCAAAAAGGAAATGTGTTGTCCTACTTAAGCAAATAATTCCTATGTACTAAATCAAGTTAAGGACCATAAAAATTATACACATCAAACATTCCATGGATGACTTTATGAAGTACTATCCTTTTCTGTTAGACATACCATAAAAGTGGTAATAAGACGTATGCAATCCAATGGGTAGGGTAGGCCCTGACATTGCATTGCTTTTGGTCTCTTGAGTGCATCCTTCTATTTGGTTCACATCATGAGATGACGTTTCATTGCACAGTAGACCAAGGAATCTTAAAGATGCTACTCCCTCGGTCTCTAAATAAATGTCGCTATTGGTGTCCGCGCCGAAAGTTTGACTCGATTTATAAAAAATACGTGCAACATTTGTATCTCTAAATAAATTTGTTAAAAAACTAGATTCAAATATCTTTCCAATGATACTAATTATGTACCATAAATATTAATATTTTTTAATATATATTTAATCAAAATTATTTCTCAAGAAACAAAAATGACAGATATTTAGGAACAGAGGGAGTAATTATCCAACAGGAACTAAAGCAAAAGGCCTAATCTTGCCCAAACATAGTGGTCCATGAGTGCGCCTATATATATATATATATTCATATTCATGGGAAGATGGCCACTTTGTGACATCTTTGTTCAAGAAAATATATCTCTAGTGATTGGATTCTCTCTCCTCTTGGCTTCTTTGAGCCAATCCATTATTCGAGCTCCAGTTCCAAGTAAATTGCCAAAATATTTTTCTTGGACAAGTTTTGGTAGTATGACACATCCACTTGTCAAGTTCTTGATATTTTTTCCTCACGCTACTATACATGAGTGGAGTGGGCTCTGGGCTGCGCAACTCACCACGTTGCAGTCAATGCCATCCTTCCTCTGTTGTGAAAGCAAACAGTATTCACATAACCTTTTCCTCTTGAAACCTTGCATAATAACTATAGATTATAGATACCCTAAATGGGTTGCTATCTGCCTAAAAAAATTCTCATCTAGTCAGTTGGCAACAGTACATATTCAGAATCTTATATCTCTCCAAGATGGCAACACCAAGGGTGAAAACAATGCAGAGCCAGCCAAAACAATCTGTTACCCAAGTCCATTTCACTTACCGCCCTGTTCGCTAAGCTTATAATCCGTACTTTTTCAGCGAACGAACAATATTTTTCTCTTACAACAAATCAGCCAACAGTACTTTCAGCCATGGCTTATCATGCAAGCGAACATTTTTTCCTCCAAAGTGGAAGACACTGCTGAACAGTCACCTTTACTCTTTCCCGAGAAGGCTAGAAGAGCATAGTTGGTGATAGGACATACTCTCTCCATTCTACAATTAAGTCACCCTAAGAATATACTTTCTCCGTTTCAAAAAAATCATCCGTCATTAAAGCCGGCTGCAACTGTTTTGTTGTGAGAGAAAAATACTGTAGATTCTAGCTGATAAGTTTAAGCGAAGAGGCCCGATTCATTTTTGAAGAAGTCATTTTTTAGGTTTGACTAGATTTATAGCAAATACCATCAATATTTATCTCTTAATATGTTTATTATAAAAATATATTTTATTACTAATATAATGATACTAATCATTGACATTTATGGTGCATAATAAGTAGCACTAGAGGAATCATACAATATATTTTTATAATAAACATATTTAGAGAAACAAATATTGGTAGTATTTGTTATACATCTAGTCAAACTTATGAAAATTTGACATCCCAACGCATTTACCTTGTTTCCATGCAACATCACATCTTCAGCAGAAAGCCATCAGAATGCATGCCATCAGAACCACTCAAATACTGCTGATCTACATGTTCATGGATTCCAGGCAGCCACCCTTTGCTTTCCAATCACCCCAGCCATGCACAGCACCAGTCCTCCTTTTCCTCAAAATGTACTGGCTGTTTGGTCCACCCAGCAGCATCCTTTATTCACAGCTTCTGTTAGGCAGGCCAGACCCATGAATTGCATGCCCCTGAACTTCTGATCATTTGAAGCATCAGTGCCTGTCATTTGGCTGAACAGTGTGCATTAATCACTGAGCAATTATTGCTTTGTCATCCATGTCTTCAAAGTTGAATCTCCATGCCTGAAGCTATACCTTCAATTCTACAGACAAGCCAATTTCAGGAAGGTAGATGAGGACGTTGCACCGTCCATGCCATGCCTACTCTCGTACTATAACTGCCAGTAGTACAGACCAAGTGTTCCACGTATATAGAAGTAGGGGTGTTTGGATCCGGTTACTAAAATTTAGGAGATGTGTTGGGAGAATGTTGTATGGGGTGTTTAGATATTAATAAAAAAATAAATTACATAATCCATCAGTATTCCACGAGACAAAATTTTTAAGCCTAATTAATCCGTTATTAGCACATGTTTACTATAGTAAAACATTGTCAAATCATGGACTAATTAGGCTCAAAAGATTCGTCTCACAAATTAGTCGCAAACTATGTAATTAATTTCGTAATTAGTCTATATTTAATACTTCATGCATGTATCTAAACAGATAGAACAACGACTAAAATTTAAGAAGGAAACCAAACACCCCCGTAGTACACATACATGAACACCACACATATACTCCTACACCTTAAAGATTTGCAGGCTCGCATCAAGCATGGATGACTTCACTTTCCCCACTTTCCATGCAGGAGGGCAGCTTCTTTCATCACCATTCCGACACCAGCTCGGCGGCTCGCCTTTGCCGTGGTTCCTCGCCGCTGCCAGGGAGGAGGAAGAGGAGGAGGAGAAGATGGACATGCTGTGGGAGGACTTCAACGAGGAGCTCGCGAGCGTGCCGCCGCTGTGCCCGCTGAGCCCTGTGATCAACAAGGGAGCGCTGGCGATGAAGGAGGCGGCCGGCTGGCTCGGCGGCGACGGCGACGGCGACATGGTCGTCGTTGATCCAGAGAAGCACGGCAAGCATCCCCGCCCACAGCCACAGGACGGCAGGGTGGTCCGGCGCCGGAAGTGGAGCCTGAGGCTGATGCTCAGGCTCCTCAAGAAGCTGTTCCTGGTCAAGAAGTCCAGGAACCCGAGAACTGCACCTGCACCCATCTGATCTGATCTGATCTGATCTGAGCATAGCATCGTCAGATGGGCTTAGGTTGCCACCCACCTCCAAGAAATCAATGGTGGATGAGATGAGTGATACAAAACAGAGTAGTAGTGTGTGTGAGCGTATAGTGCTCTATACAAGTTTTTTAAAGTTTTTTACTTGATGTTTCTCTCTCACCAGCTTGTTTGTTTTCCCTCCTCAAAGTCGTTGTGCTTTTCTTGCTACCCTAACTACCTGTGTTTTGACTCTGAATTCGATACACTGTCACTTTGTTAGTGTTTAAATTCCTCGTATGCTTCTTGTTTTAATGATCCAAATGCAGCAGCATCTGATGTTCATCAACCAGAGCACGGTTGAATCAAAATTCGGCATGGAAGAAATCTGAAATGTTTGTCGGTTCGAATTACCAGCATTTGATATGTACTGTCGACTTAAATTATGGTCAGGAATTAGATGCGTAAATGTACTGGATATACTGTTCTGAGTTGAACTCGCCGTGGCCGTGCGAAATGGCTCTACCCGTACGATTCCTTGAGTACAATGCCATCAGCTTCAGCTCGCAGCGACCTCGTACATACATATATGTACGTGGCTTCGCCATCAAGAACCTACCGAAATGAAGGGGCCATTAACTGCAGATGAGCCAAAGTTTTCTGGTGGTTGCACCAACATCTCCGTGGCTCAGAATCCGATGCCATCCAAGTCCCAGACCTCATAAAACAGTGCACTAAACCATTGCAACCAACGAGAAGCTGCAATCAGAGTACCGTCAGGGCACCCGCAATTTGTTGGAGCTGTAAGATACTCTCACCTAACCTTGTTTACCATTTCAATAGTGCTAATTTTGGGCCTGTTTGCTTGTCTGAATTTTGGAGGAATCTAAATGGTTTGGAGGAATGCTGGAGGAATTTGTGAGAGAAAAACATTGTTCGGATGAAAAAATAAGCGGATCAAGTCGGGTTTTAGGACTAGCTTTTAACATGGATTGCCCCACATGAAATATATGCAAGAGCTAGCTTTTCTCTCTTCTATAAAAAATACTTAGAGCTAACTTAAGAGTCAATCGTTGAGCTGCCTTTAGTGGTCTAAATGCGCTACATTATCCATCACTCGTCTTAATCCGGCTCTCCTAATCACCCTCAATGAACAGTACACCTGTTCATTGAATTCCATACTCTAACTAACTGTACACCTGTGCATCCCTTTTGTTGAATTCCATACTCCGGCTGACAGGGAACTTTTTCATCGTCCTTGGGAAGTACTACTACAATTTGCACTGACTTGTAACTAATTCTATATTTCTATGAGGAGATACCAAAATCAACTCTAGCTAAATTGGTACTACAAGTACCTTTCCTTATTTCTCCAGGGACCGTAAAAATGTTTGATCACCAAGAACAATCACAGGGTGACGACACTAACTAACTGTAAAATCAAAAAGCTATTTTGCTTTCATCTGTTTGTCATTCTCATGTCCTAAACCTGCAGACTGAATCATTGAGCAAATGATTGGATTAGATCCCAGTCCCAGTCGACCAGCTAACCTACTTCAGATGCCACATGTTCAGCTTAACTGTTGCTCGTGCCTCACTGATCACCCAGTACGTACTACAAAAAGGGCCTGCTGCTGAGGAGTGAGCTTTCTCCATACTGAATTGAGTAGAAAGGAATTAAAGGGAGGCCTGAACTGAGCTGAGCTGAGCTGAGCTGTTGAGCCTGACTGAGACCTCAACACGTGGTCTTGTACCTGCAGCAAGCCATCACCCAACAGGGAACAGAGTGAAGCAACAAGGAAGGAGGTGGAGGGCCAAGAGCACAGCCATGAAATGGATGCAGCAACCAACATGCATGTTGGTCTCCAACAGAAGGAATTGGTTGTCAAAGTTTTGTGCCTGCCATGTCCGCTGTCGTAACAGTTCCCATTTCACATGAAAATGTCATGCTGAAATAAAATAGAAACAGAAAGACTATGCCTTGTTGCTGATCTTGTGCTTCGTAGGATTCTAGAATGCCTCGGCTGCTATCTCAGAAATAACACCACAAGAACACATCAGCGATTGAGAAAGCATGGTGGCACGAAAGAACAGTTCAGCAGCAGTTTCCAGAAAGGAACCAAGCGATGGCTAGACTATTTCATAAAGCAACCAGTTTTTTGGTCAAGGCTTCTGTTTCACCCAAGAGCCACATGTTGCAACTACCACTCCACCAGCCAAGGCAAAACTGATCAGATAAATTGCTGACAGCTCTCCTGTTTTTTCTACTACTGAAAGGTATGTTTCTGTTATAAACTGCAAGAAAAGAAAATAATGGGGAAACAACAATACTATTCATATAGCAAATCACTCTAATGGCTGCAAATTCACAGCAATATGACGGTTAACCAATACACCAGGGTTCCAACCAGAACATGAGCACATAACAACTCTGTTTATAGTCGCTTATTTGTTTCGGGAAATTATTAGTGTGCTCTATCTTGAACGAGCACAGAAGCACTTTCCAGCATGTGAATGACCAATCAGTCTTCTTATTCTCCACTAGCCGCAGATCAATAGGATCGCACCCTCGAATGTGCAAAGGAAAGCCTAGTCTCTGTCTCTGGCACGGAGGAGCGGAGTTATCTCCGGGACAACCCTGTATATGTGCACTTTTATGTTGTCCTCCTTGAAAAGCTCAAAGATGCAGACATCAAACTTCTCCAGATTGTTTCCTAGAGCAAATTTACCCCAGCCACCACTGAAAGCGCCAACAGAGCGGTCACTGTAGTAAACATAGTTAACTTCCCAAGCCTTCCCTAGGGGATCCCAGAGCGTTAACTTCTTGTTTGTCTGGGGAAGTGACTCTCTGACAAATTCGCAAGCGATGTTCTGAAATACATGGGGATTAAGTTAGAGAAGCAATGACAATGTAAACAAGCCAATGGTAAATACATGGGTATATAGAAAATGCTATCCATTAGTAGACAAATGAAAAACTTAAACATAATACTAGCTCAGTTTTTGGTAATTTTTCTGCGCTTCTGGTGCTTTCAACATTAAAATCAGACAGTACCAAGCTAACTTACACATGACAACAAATGTTTCCTAATCTAATGAGATTGGAAAAGTAGGGAAGCAAAAAGTGGGTACATTAGCCAAACTAAGATAGTTGTAAAAGTTACTGGGAAAATGCTTGAAAAATGTTTACTGCTATAAGAACAATGTTCTGCAAAGAGTTAGGAAGCACAAGTCGGCGACTAAGGAACTATATTCATGCAGGGACTACAAAGAATAGTTTTGAGCTCGATATAAGTGTGAGGTAGCATATGGGAAATAAGTGGCATTACCATGAAAAATCCCACATAGACATAAGATTCCATCATTATTTGCACGGTGAAAGGATACTTTGACTTAAATTCATTTGCCTTTCTAAGAGCAAGGTCCTTCTCTTCTTCAGTTACTGGGCGCCTTTGAGATATCACAACTGGTGCCCTGCTGGTCTTCAAAAGGACTGAAAGGCGCGATAGCATCAATTTATTCACAGGTATCACACAGTCCAAAAGAACTGAATCTCTTATTAATAATAATGATGGCAATTTCACTGCAATAGAATTGTTCGAGGAAGAAAAACTTACATTTACCACTCCTAGGCACATTCTTATCTCTGATCTGAGTCTTGTTGAAAGTTTTAGATTCGTCCAACAAACTGAAGGTGGCATCTGTGATATGCAAAAGTTAACTTGAATGGAAAGTACATGGATGGTAATGATTTTGAATGAATCCTAGCTAGAAAAATAATAATGTTTGCTCAAGAGTGCTCAACTGGGATTGCAGTCCGGTTTTGACATATTAGAGCACTTATTTTTATTAATACTCAGAAGTGAGTGAAATCAGAGATAATCCACCACCAACAAAGAGCCTAGATATGGGATGTTCACAACCAGAATATTAAATTTCTCCTAGTGAGGTGGGGTTCTCCTAGTGTTTTGGCAATCAAAATTTAGTATAATTTTTTCCTACCAAATGCCTCCTAGTGAGATTCCCATGTGCTATAACTATTGGTAGCGTTTTATTACTACATAAAAGCACTAGGAGAATTCCACCATTTTGGCAGTGGTTATGGCAACTACAAGCCTACAATAGCACAGCACATGGCTTCCTAAGTTCTGACCATGAAGTACAGGTAATCAACAGTATGGTTTAGTCATATTTATACCACTATCCTTGCACTCAACAACATGTTGTCAATGAAAACACACTAAAGAATAATTTCACTAGTAACTGTCAATAACTGCACCTTTGTGTTGATCTCAACAGTGAGACATCAAAACAATTATTCAGGTCACACCCCATAAGGAAAAAAAATCAGGTTAGCTTTCATTATTATAAAAAAACAAGGTTCTTTTATCTTTCTTACTGTGAACAATTGTCGCCGCATCCTTTGAAGTGCCAGCTTGATTCCTCCTCTTGTCAGCTTTCTTTGCGACAGTAGAGTGCCTCTTTGATGCATTGGCATCTGCTGGGAGATCACTCATTGCTCTTGTTCTCTTCCCTGTTACCCCACGGCCCTCTTCTGTGGGGAGAGGTGGTATCTCAGAGGCGCCAGTGCCACCACCCATTGCTCTTGTTCTCCTTCCTGTTACTCTATTGCCCTCTTCTGTGGGGAGAATTGATACCTCAGAGGCGCCACCTGCATCCATGTCCCTTTGGACGCCTTCATCCTCTTCAATCTTAACGACTACCTCATTCGTAGGCTTTGCATCCAAGGCTGATGGGTCGATGATGCCTGACGGAGAGAACACCGCCACGGAGAACTGAGAGGGCCCATCATATGTGAAAACCAAGAAGTAACCTTTCTTGAGGGAGTGATCCGTGACGAATTCCTTCCATCCCTGCTCAAAGGACCACACTTCGGACTCTGAAGCAAGTGTTGCCTGCCATTTCTTGCCACTAGGACCCTTCAGGAAAATCGGTCCAGTAGGCTGCTCCTTGAGGTGCTGGTGGAACATGTGTGGAATTTTCTGCACAGGATCAACACATTCAAGAAGGCGTTAGTTTTTTTTTTACCTCCAGAATGCAAATATGAACCTGCTGTAACTAAGGATGAAAACGGTCGAACTCGGTCGAAAAACTCCTCAACCGTTTTCTACTTTTACATTTGAAATACGAAAGCAAAAGCGGACAAGCCGGACACGAAAACGAACACGAACTTACGGAATATCTAGAATTTCGGAAACGAACCAATTCAAGCGGAATTATATCGAACACGGTTGGTATGCGAAAATTCAATACGAAATACCAACCCACAGTGCATAGCATTAAACAAGTGCACGACCAAATACATAACAAGTTCACAACTAACAAGTGCATGATCTAGTTCAAGTGCACGACCAAATACATAATAAAGAGAGATTGAGATTGGGTACCGTCTATAAGAGAGGGCAGCTAGCCACCAGTAGAAAGAACGCAGCTGCATGGTGAGCAGCCTGTAATTGGGCTGTATGACCTGTGCAGTTGGCCAAATTCGGTTTAAACCAAATTTTGAATTCGGAATATTTCAAATTAAAAGTAGAAAAGTAGAAAACGGTCGAAAAATGTGTAAACCGTTTTCTACTTTTACATTTGAAATACGAAACATCTCAAATGCGAAAGCGAAAACGGTAAAGTCGGACAAGCAAATGCGGATTCGATCGGATTAAATATAGAAAATGATGCGATTCTGTAACTGAGGCGCGCTACATGCGTGATGAAACCTCAGATAAAAAATAAAGCCAGTAATATATGGAATATATGCAAATCATGACCATTAACAATGAGATGAACCAAGTCGTATTTGGTGTTAAAAAAAACTTGCCAAATCAACACATTCACATGACAAGCAATCAGCTAACGGGTAGAACATTAGGAAAAAAAAGTAATTCAGGAGGGGGAAAAATCCCATTTTCTTTGTTGAGCATTGCAAGAAACAGGATTCAGTCATTCAGATTCCTAATCGGAACAGATCATCGCAGCATCTAACAACCAGAAGCAATTATTTTTATCTGGGAAAAGAAAGTACGACCGAAAGTAATAGAACAGTCCACGCATTGATTCATGGATTAATTAAACAAAACAGGGGATGGGATGGATGGGGCGAAGAAGCTCACCAACCGCTCCCTCGACTGCTCGGGGAAGAAGACCTTGAAGAACTGTGGGCAGACGTTCTTCTCGGCGCCGGTCTTCTCCTTCTCCCTGTCGTTCTGCTCGCCGACTTCAATCACCTCCGTCTCCTTGTCCTTCCCCTTCCCCTGGGGCTTCTTCTGCTTCTCCTTCGCTGGCTCCTTGCCCTCTCCACCCATCTCCGTCTCCTTCCCCTTGCGCCTCGGCCTCCCCCTCGCCGGCCCCCTGCCGGTTTCCCTCGCCTCCTTCTCCTTTCTGGCTTCCTTCTCCTTCTCCTTCTCCTTGCTGCTCCCCCTATCCTTAACCAGCGCGGCAGCCGAGCTCGTGGTCCCCTGCTGCTTCTTGGGACGGCCCCTCATCGTCGGCTTCTTCTCTGCAGCAGAGCAAGGAGGAGCACCGGTAGAATGAACAAGATTCAATGGTTCACGCGGGGCGAGGCAGCAGAGCAGGCAGCAGCAGCTGTAAATAGACTGACTGTAAACAGTTATCACTGGCTGGCTGCCTTTCTCGGAGTTTGGAGCAGCGGCAGCGTCCTCCTCCTCCTCTCTCAATCTCTCTCCTCCTCTCTCCTCTCTCCTCTGGAGCCTGGACCCTCTGGGTTTAAGGAATGGTGGCTGCTAGAGCAAGGACACAAGGGCCAGCCTTTTGCACGAAAACAGGGGAGACGGGACGGAAAGGCGATGGCCTGAACCTCCGCTCTGGGGTTGTTGGGCAGTGGGCTTCTGGAGTTATGTAAGGATGCATCAGCAGGAGATGCCTTCAGCTGGATTTTGGGTTTTTTCTTTGCAGGGACAGCCATGATGGCTGATGATCACCTGAGATGAGATAGTCACCATCTGGCAGGAAGGGCTGGATTCCTCTCCATATGGTGAGGGGTGGTTTTGAGTGTGTTGTTGCTCTCAAATTTAAATGCCACGATAAAAATTGCGGCGGAATTCCTTTTCGAGACGATAACATTAGCTGTCGAATCCTTTCTATGAGATCAGAGAAAATTCTTTCCATCTCAAAATCTTACCATTGTCAAAAATCTTACCGAGGTGTAATATGAATCCGCGAAATTTGGAGGGGCGGCGTCGCGTGCGAAATTTGGAGAGGCGGCTAAGTGGCACGGGCGCGCGAGCAGGAGTTGGACGCCTTTCCCACTTTCCATCTTCAGTGGACGATATTCGCGGTGCCATCTAGACACTCTTTGCTCCTCAGATCTATAACTAGATTAGGAAAAAAAGAATTGGATACAAAAATTAAGTCAAAATTTACAAAGTGAAGCTTCGTCGAACCTCTCTCAGAGCAGTGGCCGTGCGGAGCCGAGGAAGAGCAGGCCGCGCGGGGCGAAGGAAGAGCAGGTCATGCAGGCGTCGGCGAGGAGGCTGCGTCGGGAGAAACAACGCCAATGCCGGGGATAGAGGAGAAGCCGCAGAGGCTAGGCCGCACGTCCGTCGGGAGAAGCTGCAGCGGGGAGGCCACGTGAGCGTCGAGGGAAGCCATGACCGGGGAGGCTGCGTGGTGGATTAGAGAAGACACGCCGCTCCTTGGGATGGAGGAGGCCAGATCTGGCAGAGGCAGCGGCGGTGGAGAGAGCGTGACAGGTGTTGTCGGGAGAAATTGTCGGGTCAAGGAGGCATGAGCATTGGGAAGTGGCATGAGAAGGGTTCCATAGCGACACGCAAGAGGAACAGCAGGAAACGGTCGAGTACCAGAGTCCCTAGGAATGAGGGCGGGAAGAGGCAAATTTGAGGGCTCTAGTACCGGCCTACTGGACCTTATTTTTTTTTGTCACGAGCCCTCAAATTTAGTTTTAAGAGCTCAAGGGGCCTGCTAGTAAGGATGGAAAATGGAAATGGATATCCGAATTATCCAATATCCGTATCCGCTAAAACTTGTAATATGGATATTCGTATTCGTATTCGTATCCGTTACTAATATGGATACTAAATGGATACATCTGAATTCATTTTTCAGTGTTTTCTTTATTTGATTCTAGATCTGTATCCGACAATATCCGGCAGTATCCGTATCCGCAAAGAAAACAAGGTGTCATTAACCTACTTAAATGTTTTCTCTCCATAACGAGTGACCAATTATTGAATTTTATTATTACTAATAATATATACATTGTACCCATTTAATAGTATATCTAATTATCTATAAATAAGTTTTAGTATTAATTTTAAAATATTAATGATACATAAATATTAAATTAATTTTAGTATTTTTCTAATTTAGTTTAGTCCAAATATATTTATTTTTTAAATTATTTTAATGCTTTAGTTTATTTATTTATTGATTTAAATTATTTTACATAAATTTATAATTTCATGTTAAATGTTTATATAAATATAGTATTGATTGATTAATTGATATACTTACTTATTAAATATTTATTGATAGCTGTATTATTTTTATGTGCTATCCTTGTCTATGTTGTATACACAAATGCTTTAATCTCTACTTGTGTGATAATTTTGTAATTCCAATACTATAGATAAAGTAAAATGGCTATTTGTTTTCTACCATTTTTATTTGAATTTCTTCACTAGAACTATTATTTCATTTAATATTATCCATTATGATTTAGTTTACTTCGACATTGGTGATTATTAGAAATGTGCTTTTATTAGTTCACTTTGGTTAACAATGTACTTAGTAGTAAAATTTTATCAATGTATGTTAAATTTGACAATATACATTTTTTAGTTGACTTGAGTAAATATCCGAATAGAAATCTGAATCCAAGACATCCGTTTTGTATTCGTATTCAAAAATACTTGAATCCATATTCGTATTCGAATTAAAATGTGGTAAAAGGTGATATCCAGATCCGATTCTATGCGAATCCAATCCGTTTCTATCCTTACCTGCTATAGTTGCTCTTATGAGTCCACTTAGATGCTAAGAGCACCTGCCTAAAATCTGACTCTCAGATCGCTTACATATACTTCGTTTTTTGTGTTGGGCATTTGTAGTAATGACTTGTGCATAGAGTTGATGTTACCTCAAGATTTTTTTTCCGAATGAAGATATAGGATCCGACTGTTATTTTGTTTTTTCTCAAGTTAAATCGTCTCGTGACATATTTATTGACTAGAGGATTTTGTTAACAACATCAGAAGAGAGACCTTCCCTCTCTGTATCTCGTGATGTCTCTATGTACTAAAATATGTGTCAAGATGTCATTTACGTATTTAGGTCCTATAGATGCATGTCAAGAAAATAACACAAAGAGATAGCGAATAAACATGCCGAAATAGCACAGTCAGAGCAAAACGTATTGACTGTGCTATCAAGTGTGGGAAGTTTTTGTTTGCACCAGAGTATTAAGTGTGCACAGTCAAAATAGTGAAGGATAGGAGAAAACACTTGTCCAAATGATCCGGTGAGAGAAGAATACATGGACCATAGTATTCGGTTCAGTATGTTCTTGCTCTTCTATGTCAGGGTAAAATTTAAATGCCACGATAAAACTAGTTGTCGAATCACCTTTCTCTTAAATCAGAGAAAATTCCTTTGATCGCACAAAATCTTACCGTTATCTAATATGAATCCGCGCAATTTAGAGAGGTGGCTAAGCGGCACGCACGTGCGAGCTGGAGTTGGACGCCTTTTCTACTTCCATCTTCAAAGGGTTCACGGTTCCATCTAGACACCCTCCCCTCCCCAGGACTATAGCTGGTTTAGATTTTTTTTTTGGAACCAACAGTTTCAATTCAAAATTTACAAAATCAAATTTCGCAACACAATGTTTTTGCATCACCAAAAGTCTAACACAGAATATTCTTGGAAAAAATAAGATCGAGAAGTCTTCCATATGCCTTGTGTTGTAGCCACGGCATTGATGCGATACCATATTCTACTGTGCCTAGCACAAGGCCTCCTTCTCCGAAGGTGTCAAAGGTGGCACCTATGATGATAGAGATGAAGGTTCGCAAGGTGGAGATGATCTGACTAGATCTCATCCTCTTCTAGCACGCACAACAATTAATGGGTTAGAAATAACAAAACAGGAAGGTTGCTCATGTGCAGTGGACTCCACATTTCACACTTTTGTGGACCCATGCATGTGAATATGACAGCTTTGTGAGAGATAAATGTGTAACGTCCAAGAACTAGCTGGCAATTTCTTTTTTTTTTATTATTAGGCTTGTAACTTCTAATATAAGCACCAACTAACAATTTCAAATTTTTTTGTATTTACACTTGTAACATCCAAGCACAAACTAACAATTTCAATTTTTTTGTATTTACACTTGTAACATCCAAGCACCAACTGTCGATATCAAATGTTTTCGTCTTTTCTCGTGTGTTAGCTGCTTGACTTAAAAGCAGTTGGATATTATGGCCCCTTATACTGTACTTGTTATGATTTTGATGATTGTAGTGACACCACACCCAATGACACTAAAATATGTGCTAAGATGTCATTTATACATATTTGGGTCCTATGGATGCAAGTCAAGAAAATAGTACGAAGAAAAAGCGGAACATGCCAAGATAGCACAAAAGTCAGAGCAAAATGTATTGACCATGTTATCAAGTGGGTATTGTTTTTATTGCACCAGAGTATTAAGTGTGCACAATGAAAGAGGGAAGGATGGGAGAAAACACTTGTGTTGACACCGAATAGGATCCGGATCACACATCAGCAAGGGCTAGCACACCCGTGGTCGACAAACGACCTTGATCACAACAAGAACGCAACGGATCGACAAAAACCGATCTAGAAACTGGTTACGCCGATGTTGAGCCCATTCTTCACGTGATAGACTCCCGAACACCTCTCAGGAAGACCCGCCGGGGAGGAGCATGTGCAGGGTGTCTTAGGGTCGGCAAGGCCACATAGAACGTTGCGAAGTCTCACCGGGAGACGTGACAAACAGTAAGGTAGAGATAAAGTAGGGCAAAAAAGGGTATGCGTTATGTTTTTAATGATTGGAAGTTGGAATCCTTAATCGGTCATGATCCTCTTATTTATATGGAGGGGGTGGTCTTATCCCAATAGGGAACAAGTCCAAATCATAATCTCCAAGATTCCCACGCCAAAAATAGATAAAAAAAACCGATTTAGAAACCGATCGCTTTGGAATAGGACAGGTTCATGATGGCTGGACAGCCACATGGCCAAGCAAACCAGCCTGACTGCTGGCCGGTTCTAGTGCGAGTCCGGTGTAGAGAATCTTCTAAAAATTGTAATTTATTCTTCCGAACTCCAAAGGAGGCGAACCATATATGTTTTTCGATAAATGCGACCAAAGGAACACAATGATGCAATCCATTCTTGCATTTGACAAAGTTGGTCAAACCGGCCTGTCCGGTTTCGGCTGGGTCAGCCCCTCGAAAAACTATTTTATTCGTTCAAGCTCCA